TTTTCAGCACCATACCTGTGTTCGTGAACTTCACCAAAGTGATAAACGTCTCAGGCCGGCATCAATTCGGGTTTCCCTCCACATTAGGCAGACACGCCGTGATCTGAGCGACGTTAAATCAAACTCACCCAGTCACTAACACGTTATCGACGTCATTATGCATACTCTAAGTCATTAAATACATTTCAATGAGTAAACCTAATTTATTGATACAATTTTACTTTCACATTATGAGTGTTCACTGGAGACCTTTCAACGAGTCTGAGCCAAGCTGCACGAAAGAAGAACTGAGCGTTATTTTCGTGGTCATGGGACCGGTCTCTGGTCCAATGGAAAGAAATATCGAATAAACTTCACATTATTAAACTGTTCTCAAATACAGTCTTATCTCTTGCTGGGAAAGACTAGTGCAGACACTGCAGAAAAAATGACGTCGTTTTTTATAACATCAGTTTTTCGTTTTTAGTTTCAACAAAATCAGTAAACGCGTTATAGAGTCACTGGACTGTCTGCCGTCTGGTCAAGAGTTGATTGTTTACCGGCGCTGTCATGTGCCAAGAGTGTTGCTGTGCGGCGTAGGCAACAAACAAACACTTACTGTTGTATGCAAATCGTATGACATAGCACGTTGTCAGCCGCCGTTTGTCACTTCGTTGTCCTCTTCTCGCAAACTGTTTGAGGGAATATAACACAGTTCAAGTTTTAGTTGTTTTGAAGACAACTACAGATGTTCTTGAGAACCCACAAAAAGATGATGTGCAGCATGAAATAAGGACATGGACTTGGTCATTAAATGAATATGAAACATTTAGTCTTTTGTTTCAAACAGAAAAAAAGAACAATGTCACTCGAGAGCTAAACCATATTATGCTGAACTTATGTTGATATAGGCAACAAGCATGGGGTGAGAATTTAGGCAGAAATCATAAATTTTCGAATCAGGTATTACTCTTAATGAATAATGAATGCACTATTTCTATTCTTTACCACAAACTATGTTAGTTCTATCGAATGAATACAGAAAGTTAGATATTTATATACGTACCTGCGCAATACGTGAAATTAGCAATACGGGTTTGACGATACAAAATTCAAAGTGTGACCTGAATAGAATACTGCAAAAAGAATGTACTCATCATTAAAGGTATTTTCTTTTAACGTTTCGTTTGTGGTTTAAATTATAATATTCTTTCTCTAAAGCGTCAAATGGGGTTCAGTGTTGCGTCAAAGATTATTGCACTTGTATAGCGACGTACCTGGTGAGTGAGTGTGTTTGTGTGTGTGTGTGTGTGTGTGTGTGTGTGTGTGTGTGTGTGTGTGTGTGTGTGTGTGTGTGTGTGTGTGTGTGTGTGTGCTTGTACTAGTCCGTACTAATGCCGAATGTCGATTTCATAATGATAGTCGATTAAGATACCATGCCAGAGTTTAACATGAATACTCCCACTCAGACATAACATACTGACTCCGAGCCGACCAGACCTTGTTTTAGCCCCTTAATGCCGGGCGCCAGGCAGGGTAACAAGTACCGCCTTTTAAAGTCCTTTGTTATTACGCGACCGGGGATCGAATCCCGGACCTTCCGCTCTCTGGCCGGACGCTCTACCACTGGAATACGGTGGCGGACCGCACTACATATGAACACAACGTTTAAAATGATAATAACCAACGTTTTTGACAAAACATATTTATTATGACTTGTGTCATATCAAATTATGAATGTGATCTGGACACTAAGCCGATGCATGGGGTATTTCCCACTAAAAGCACTTCCGAAACTCCCAATTACGTATGTATCATTTCCCTTCATACTTCAGTGTGTCCGGCTCAGTCAAGAGGTGTCGCGTCTGTGAAAGTCCATGTCAAACAAGGATTATAGCGACCTACTCCTCCCACTTGTATCCCCCAAACCCCCACTTAAACCAGCGTCTCAGACCAATCTCAATGTCTTTACTCATCTTGTCTAAACATCGCGGAAAAGTTGATCAACAAAGATAAGTAGTAGACGCGTATCTGCTAACAGTTGCTAGGGGGAATAGTTACCTCCTTATACACTGCGAGGAGCTATGTGGACGTTAGACCTGCATAGCGTAGTATATTACAGCATGTTATATAGTGGAAATAAACGTTAATTTGAAACTATAATGACTACACAGGAAAAACGTCATGTACATTGAAACGTCTTAAATGTCAGGATTATAATGTGTGGTTTTATGCCCTATGGGCGAGTTCGAGAAAAGGAACATACCTGAGTCAAATAGATTTGAATGAAGCTTATTTTCCGATTTTAACAAATGCTCCTTTTAATTTTTAAACACATAAACAATAAAACACACGTTGTAACTTGCCTAGCCTGAGAATGAATTCCCGACTTTTTTACGCTATTGATCAATCGGGTAACATAAATATTTATGTATGTAAACAGTTTGACGCATATTGTTACCATATGGCAGTTCTGAATGATTGCGTGAGTTATTTCTGTGTAGCATTATAACTGCCGGGCGAAAGAAACTAATATACTTGAAAATTGGATTTGACCCAAAACTTACAAACGTTATCAAAACGTCACTGGGATGAAAACACTCGCCGAAACACTACAAACTTTAGGTCCAAAACACAGCTATAGTACCCGTATCAAATACATCACAATCGAATAACAATTTCTTGTAAAGACAAATACAAGCTCTCCTTGTACGCCATCCTATCCATATACTTACTGAAACGCCCACCTTAAACTAAGACATACCACATAGGAATAAAAACCATAAATCTTTTCAAGCCAATGTAAAATGAGTAGAAACTCCAGTCTGTCGCAGGGGTGACTTCCTGCGACATATATCAAGTAAACACCCCATCAACTTTCTAAAGCTATCTCACAATAGGAGGTGGGGGTATAAACGTGTTGAAACAAATTGCAACGTGGTGTAAACGTTTGGTGTGGATTTCATTACCCCTTCTCACGGCCACTGGTCACTTGAGACATTTTCTATTGCCTGGAAAATCCACGGACACCGGTCACATGATACAAGGTATCGGGTATGTGTGCAGTTGGGTCCAGACCTATGGCGTCTCCTGACAAACAGTGGTCATTCCGGGTAGACGGGGTGGCAAGTTTCCTGTTGACGCGTACATAACACAGGCGAGCCTAAGTTAAGATTTCTGTAACAGACCGTGATGTCAGACAAGGTGATGGTTTGTCTCAATTCGTATTCATAACAACAGACAACCTTTTTTCATTTGAGTGTTAGGGGATTTCTTTCGATTCTAATTTTCACTGAATGTGAATGCTTTAGACATTTCATTATATAGAACGGTTATTAGTAAATTATATAAATAGTGACAAGGCACTATTGCTCATCCAGTAATTTTCCCACGTCGTGCAGTGCACTTCATGCCTGCAGTGAGTTGAAAGTTATTAGCAAGGATATATCTAGCCATGTGATTGTTTGAATCGTGTTTTGATCATTACATTTTTCATTTGGCTTCGGAAGGATGGTTTATTTGTAGTGAAAGTACAACATACCACTATTGTTATATTAAGTTTTAGGTTATATTTCTATTTCAAATGTATATATGATCAACAACCAATGTAACTTAAGTCATATGTCTTAACTTGATTCAAGTTTCGAGGCCTTCTGGTTTCCAAGTAAATAGATCATGCCTGTTTCTGTTTGAAACAAAAAAGCCCAAATGTTTCATTTTCATCTAATAATCAAATACCGCTCTGTGTGGGTTCTAAAGAAAATGTATAATTGTCTTCAAAATGGTGAATAAATTGAAAAAAATACTATGGTGAATATCTGAAATGTGTTATGATTATCCTGTTTGTTTCAGGTTCATTGAACAAAAAGTGTCAGAGAAGAGGACAAAGGAGTGACAAACGGCGGATGACAACGCGCCATGCCATAAGTTCACTTGGACTTTAAGTTCAACAAAAAAAGAAAGAAATGGCTTAGGCAAATAAAAAAAAAAAAATATCCATATATACTGTATGTAGCTCTTCAGAAGAAATATGTACATGTAAATATTAGTATTGTGTATGGTCTTGGTCTGGTGCGGCATGTAGTGTAGTGTTCTATAGTATAGCGTAGTGTAGTGTTCTATAGTATAGCGTAGTGTAGTGTTCTGTAGTATAGCGTAGTGTAGTGTTGTATAGTATGGTGTAGTGTAGTGTTCTATAGAATAGGGTAGTGTTCTATAGTATGGTGTAGTGTAGTGTTCTATAGTATGGTGTAGTGTAGTGTTCTATAGTATGGTGTAGTGTAGAGTTCTATAGTATAGTGTAGTGTAGTGTTCTATAGTATGGTGTAGTGTAGTGTTCTATATTATAGTGTAGTGTTGTGTAGTGTAGTGTTCTATAGTATAGTGTAGTGTATCTTCTATAGTATAGTGTAGTGTTCTATAGTATAGTGTAGTGTAGTGTAGTAGTGTGGTAGTATAATCATTCTTTATTGCATAACCTTATGTGTTGGTCTTTCTATTTCTATTATTAATGTTCACTTCCTTTGATTAATTACTTAATTACCTTAAAAATAGTAATATTCTCATACGTTACAAGAAGTATTCAGAACATTTTCAAAGGAAACTTTACATATTTGTCACGTCTAAAATCATTCGACGTATGAATTGTAACGTATAGAAACACTATAAAAAAATTTAGCTCAAAGGAATAAATATCTGAAGTATATGTGTTATGCTCAAGAGGAAATTTGTAACATTCAAGTTGCATAAGAATGTATGCCTTTTACGCTGGAACCATTACCAACTATGTCTTTGCTTGGAAAGGGTATCCTTGTATAGGTATGTGTTAAAATGTCACACTTTATGTGTACTAATGTCAGTTCGTTATGCACTATGTCGGGTTTAAGACCCAAATTAGAACAAGACTAATGTTTTTAGCTGTCATATTGTGAAACAGCGTATAATAACACACAGAGAGATTATTGTAATTGATACCCTAATCATATATCGAACTATAGAAGTAAGGAAAACGAAGAAAAGCATTACAACTTGAAGCTTTATTGCTTTCGTCGTCATAACATATATTATGTACAATAAATAATAAGGTCAATTACATGAACATAAAAGATGGCTGCACAATCTTGCGTCTTTTGCACATATCACAAAATGCTATGATATTACATTAATGTTTGAGAAACAATACCAATGAAGATATCATTTCAAAACGTCAATAATAATTGACAATATAATACATGAGACATAAAAAATTCACGTTGAGCAAATCATGTACATTCCACGACGATGACCGTGAATCAAATGTCAACAAGACTATTAACTAATATTGGAAACCTTCATTGAGCTGAAGTTGCCATCAACACGATGGAACTGTCAAAGGTTAACGTCATATCATAGGACCACCTGATATTAATTCACCTTTCGAGTGTGTTAATTCAAATAGTATTATGTCGTTCATTACTTGAAAAGGAGACCTTAAGATGATTTATTGTCACGGCTCTAATTGGCCTCATGTCAACAGCAATGACATTGACATTGACTGTGTATGACCAATAGAAATTTGAATAAAGTTGATATTCGTATTATGAATACAATCAGATAAATTCAATTTCGATAAATTATTAATTAACACGAACTTAGAGATCGCTGATTAACGTGTTCCTTCCTGGTCTATTACTGTATAGGGATTACCAACATTCTTTGTGTGTATCTGACTCGTAATATATGCGCAATGATTGCAATCTCAATTATGACTGATGTGATTAAGTACATATTGCCATAGCCGCGCTCTGTGTTTGTGTGTGTGTGTGTGTGTGTGTGTGTGTGTGTGTGTGTGTGTGTGTGTGTGTGTGTGTGTGTGTGTGTGGTGTGTGCGCGCGTGTGCGTATTGGTTTTAAGGTGTGTGTGTCTTTTTTTAGAAAACAACTAAAACAGTTGATGCACACAGATAAATCATATACACTGGGTTGAGTAGGTCACAGAATGCATTTTACAATAATTCGTCGGAATGTGCCATTACAATAGAAAACTACAAATATATTGGTAAATATCTTTAAAACCATTCAGATATAAAGATGACTTATCAAATGATCTTTTCAAGATGAATCTTCAGCTGTGCAGCCAATAATGACTGAGTGGAAATGAGACAAGTTCAACACAATTCTGAGACAGTCTAGTCGCTGAGACATCCCGTTGTCTTCTCTGCACTATGCGTTGTGGGGTTCGTACAGCACGGGTACATTGCGTAGTGAAATGCCTTGTTTGAAGAAGCGAGTCCGTTGTAACCATAGGTGGACCCTAGTCCTAACGGTAGAACTGGAGGATAGGGCATTGCAAGGGCCAGACTCCGACCTCCGCTGCCGTAGGTATATCTGATAGAGTTCAGGTGAGCTGTGGGAGGGGATGTGATTGGGGAGAACGCTGACTTTAGGGATGGGGATGTGAGTGAGGAGCTGAGATAGGACTGAGGAAACAAGCTCGGTGTTGGTGTCGTCTGGCTGAGAGCGGAAGTCGTCTGCTCGCCATGATTATTGAGTACTTGCTCAATAGCCTGAACCATGTCGTTTCCACACCCTTGAAGGATCAGCTGGAGAACCCCTCTCTTCATATGGGGGAAAATGCGGCACATCATATCAATAGGGGGACGTTTTCCGGCACCAGCACGTGCAAGAAAACTAAGTTCGTCTGCCGTGGGTTTCGGGAGGTAGTCAGAGCGCACGTGGTCAATGGTAGTGTTTGCTGGTTCTGGAGACATTTTTGGCGAGATGCTGCGAGTTGGAGAGGGGCTGCGGCCAGCGAGTTTTGGTCTGTCTGCCATGTCAGGTGACACTGGTCTGGAGTCGGGGTTCGGCGAGGATGCTGCACTGCCGGAGTCGGTTGCCACAGGGTCGAGCCGTTGACGTTTCGCAACTGCAAAAGAAAATCAACACGTTAGGAATCTAGTAACATGTATTATGTCAGAACGTGAATCCACATTTTATGGGCTTAGGCATTGAAAGAAATCCTAATTTTCTATGTTTACGTATATTATTGTATGTCCTACGTTGCATTTATTCATTGAATTTTATCCATTCGTCACATTATTTATAACAGTCTGATATTTGCATCCGATAATATGAATATGTACCAGGGACACCCGTAATGTATCCGAGTCGCTTAACTGTTACACAAAGCCGGTCTCGAACAGGACCTTTCATAAGCTTCAAGTAGCACTGTAATGTAGTTCGTTTTTTCTTGAAACTTCATCAAATTCAACTCTTTAAAATTGTGTGACCCTTTGCGTAAGGGTAAACGAATATAAGGCGTCAGCTGGCCCCATAGGCACTTCTCCCATTAGAAGTGTCTTTTGATTATTACACCAACATGATATACTTGCTAAATTATTGTGCGTGCAGAATAGAGCTATTCTATTAGTCGACCTTTCAGAGAGCGGTGAAAGAGGCGTAATTTTTACATATACCTTGTATGAGTCGTTATCACGCTTCGACGAATATCTTAAGACGATATTTGAAAGGCACAATCTTTGGGAACGTCTGTTGGCTTTATGTTTATTCTATAAATCAAACACATTAGTGAATAATTACACTAACCGCACATTCTGAAGCAGAATCTTTCTGGTACCCTGTGGACTTAATGTGCTTACCTAACTTTTGTTAAAAATCAATTGCTAAGAGATATAAAATCCAGAATATGAAACATTAATATCAGGGGCGGCCAATATCGCCTTGCCTGACTCCAAGCAGACGGATAGTTGAAAATTTTATGGTATAAATGTCCCATTTAAATTTTCGGAAAGACTGACAAACTGTTTTCTTAAATGCCATACAGGGTATGTCTTTACCCCCCGTGGATGTTCATAAGCCCTGAGCACATTCTCTGTTACCCCCGGGGCTTTTACGTCGGGTCATCCGGCATCTTTTAAGCTGGATACCCTCAGCAGACTCGAGAACATTAATTGCTAAATGTTCCGATGTTCATTTCAAACAAGCAGTGTTCATGCGCCGAGAGATAATTTACACCCTGGGACTTAGAGCTCGATAAAACCCTTCCATTGAAGTTTGTTCACAGTTTGAAGTAAGACATAACACAGGTTACACTATAGATAATGACGTCCTCACAGTCAGTGAATCTCTCTGAATGGTTGTAGCAGGACCATTTTAACATTGTAACAGGCTGCAATAAAATTCACCACCGTCACATTCCCGAGGTGGTTACTCCTAACGATTCATGAATCGATCATTTAAATGTTAATGTTTTAAAATCCTAAAACAGAAAAGGGGTAGCTGAAAAGAACGGTCTACCCCCTGGAATGGTGCTTTGTGCTCCTATTTAGAAGCGGGGACGAGTTTTGGTAACATTTGAATCAGAAAAAGATTGACCAATAAAACGTTTCTGGTCGGTGGTTACTTCAGATACGGCCTCTATTACGGATTAATCTCACTGTGAGATGTACCACATCTGAGACTTAAATATCTTCAATTCAGCGTAAAAATGAGACATCAAAAACACTTTTGTACCTACTGCGACGGTCTACTTAATCGTAGATAAGAAGGTATTTTCATACCATATGGCACTATAGAATGTATATATTATTTGCAGCTATACCGGAGGCAATAATAGGGAAACGTTTTGGACACACACAGCTTGTAGCGTTTTGGTGCTTGGCGCCTTTCATCTAAAGATACAACCTAAAAAGAGTCTTCCTGCTAGTAGAAAAGACGCTAACCCTCAAATGCAAATAAAGCATAATTTGACATTTGATATAGTTTGTACAATTTGATACCGCTAATGTCATAGGTATTTTTCAAGCGTAATTTGTAATCATCCTGCTTGAGTATCGTATTGACATCCGTCAGGCAACACTTGCATACTCAAGTAAAAGATAACAACAAAAGATCCTTCTCCAGTTCACTAACATGTCCATGTACTTGACTGATGAGCGCCATATCCTCAACCTAGGTTATAATAGGTTACAAGAACCTAAATCTGTTTTGGGACAATTGTGGTGTGTTTCCATGTCTCTTCCATTTGTTTTAACCTCATCATATCGACAGATATGTTATTATCCTTGAGGACTTGGCCTCTTTATGATTGTACATACTAGTCAATGAATTAAATATAACTAGAAAATGGATTTTATATACTTGGAACTAATTTTCATATACTGGTAAATGCATCGATATTCAGCGATGGGAGATCATAAATGAGCATTAAACAACGATAAATGAGCAATGACCAAAGGCGTATGTTTATAAAAGCTCCCTTAACCTGTAAATGCACACCATTCATTGATTCCTAGTTGAGAGAATGGTCTGTAATACAGGATAAGGAATTACCCTTCTTATTGTACATAGTGAGTATATCGAATGACGTTTGCATTTGTATTTGTCAAAATGATGAACCAACTATTGAAATGCATACTGTGTTTTGACAAGATTCAGTGATGTAGTTGTCAGCCAATATGTGTTCTGTCAGGGCCTTGAAATGATTCATAAACACTTGCGCAGAAAAAGATCGAATTTGTGGCACACCTTTAACCCCATTAACACCTTGAAACTTCATATCTGATTTGAGAACAAAGACTTTCAGAAATACACATTTAAGCTTTTATGATTGGTTGAAACTCGAGCATTTGTCTTTCATTGAATGTTCCATATTTGACACAGATACACAGGTAAATACTTTTCTGACATGGTTTGTGAGACCAGCCTGTTCATTCGGGTGTAAAAGTGACATATTAATTTTCCTCACTGGTGCTGTCACGTCAAGTATAGAGGCTTATTTGCCATCTTCCCAAGTTTCATTCGAAACCTGCGCGACTGTAAAAGGATATAATCAATCATTTCAGGTTGGGGTGGTCGTTGATTGGTGCATATTGCCAAAATAAAGACAGATCCGTGACACTTAAACCAGTTTGGATGGTTACCGTGATTTGTAACATGTTTTTTGTTGTCTGGACTGATATTAAGTTTCACATGTCCTTCATTCCTCTGGCCACAAGTGTCGCTCGCTCCTTTGTTTAAAATGCAGTTAAATATCTGTAAATCGTCTTTCATACGAGTAATTTAAAGGTAAGGCCGTTGACAAGGGTAAAGATTGCCCCTGAAAGAGTGCAAGGCTGAGAGAGTGACCCTGCCTACCCCCGTGCTGCTTGATGAATACCTTTTGCCATGTCAACACTATAGTTGAAGTGAAATAAACCCTACAAAGTTAGAGTAAGCCAAACAAAAGGGTTGAGAAGACAGAACAAATGGCTATGATGGAGAGAACAAATGTCTATGATAGAGAAAACATTAAACGTGGCATGAAGAACTTTGTCAACAACATCAAGGGGGTGGCTGTCTCCAGGACTCTTGATTTTTAGGCACCTTCATTACAGACCTTCAGGGACAAAGGACTCTCGTTGTGGCCTTTTCAATCCTCGAAACGACAAGTGACGCGAAAAATCTACTTTGTCATTTACTGATGTTAATTTAAAGATAAATTGGTCATTGGTTTGGTGATACCACCTGTGAGATGTTTCAGCGTATTTGAACCAGTTAGTTTGGAAATGTATGAAATTATCTGATTAACAATTCCAATATTTATCGTTAAAGTATTATAGTTACATTATAATTGTCATATTTCCATCACCTGATACCGGCAGAACATATCTTACACTACATTGATGTGCTATTTGTTTTGTACAATACATGATATAACCATTGAATGCCACTGTTGCAAGACGATCGGTATACGTTAATGATGACGCAATAAAATGCAATTCAGAATGTTTTGCTTGATGGACTGCATGATTAATGTTCATAAAATCCCGTGTACGCATCACATATAAATGATTCCGTGAAACTATTTGTTACATCCATACTGGTGTAAATACTTAAAAGCTGGCGTCACATATGTTACACGTTGATGAATCAGACTCCTACATGTTTTGACTCATCAAAGCATTTTGCTGAAAAAACAACACTGTCATGAGGACACTTAAAGGCACCTATGTAAGACACTCTAACACCAAAGCCTTTCGTGAAATGAGACTATTTGTTGAGGATGAAAAGGATCGATGTACGGTGACGAAAATGTTATCTTTACATACAAAGTTAATGGCCATTGTCCTGTCATGTGGTCACCACAGTCCATATTCTATGTCAGCTATTGTCACAAATCATCATTCCCCACATAATCCGTGCGCACTTACCACATTAACAGCAGACAAATCGGTACAACTAGAATTCTTAAGATACTTGAAATCGCAAGAGGCTTACAAAATATCTACTATTGCCTTAGCCTTTAAGGGTTGACCGTACTTCAGAGGAGCACCACGCTGTACAACACTACATATCCTTGTCAACCCGTAATACGATTTATATCCAAGTTGTAAATTCTAAACCTGTTTAAACTTCCCCATGTTCCTGTACGTCTGGTTTCGGCTATTGCCATATCTACCCAACCGAAAGGAGAATAATCTAAACGACTTGAAAACAGCTCATCCCTCACTTTTTCAAGCACAAATTTTCTTTTTGTCACGTATGAACGACATCATAGCACGCAAGGGGCCTATCTACCACTATACAATATATCTTATTTCCTAACAACCAGCAGCTCTTTTGTTCCAAGTATGTATCGGGATTTCAGATGTCAATCCAAGCTATGCAACACACTCAAAAGCCGTTGAAACTAAAGACTATTAGACAACTACTTCGATTTCAAAGGTAATGGAAGAGGTGGAAACAAATTAGCTCCAATTACGGGTATATCGTCAACATATTACTATGTCTCCTTGTCACATACTACTGTCATTTCTTTAATCATGCCGCGGTCGTCAAAAGCAGGCATACACATTAAAAAAGACTCGACGCTCTGAATTTGTCCATTGACTTCTTTATATCACCTTTATGTCTATTTCATGTACTTGGGGACGTATTTTCAGTACATCATCCGTCAGCCAAGGCTCCCTAAGTGATCCTCCCATGCACCCAATGAATGGACAAATTGTATGGTGCGTCCATCTTGTAGATGGTCATTCGAGCGGTCAAGCAATCAAAGTGGTATGTGGTCAGTACCGTGAGTGCTTTCATGAACTCCCGACTGGGATAAAGTTGTACTGCTGAGGAATATGTGTGCTCGAATCAGTATGATCACGGTCACTCGGTACATGGGCCTATTACATTATGCGAAATGTTCGCCAAAATTGGTTGAAGTGGTTTTGAGTAACTTTTATGTATTGCTCTATTGCAAAAGCTTTCATCTTCAGGCGATTGTAGCGAGAGTGATAACTATTACGCTCAATATGAGATTTGTGAAGTTAAAAGGTCTTAAACTATTAAAATCCTATTTTTTTTGTATTTTAAATTGCATTACTGATAATCATATCTGTACAACCGTGACAAATAATATCCTTGAAGCCTCAACACAGACTCACAATAAAGACGTTTGATGTCTTTGTTCTTTTGTAATCATTACAGCTCTTTTTGGTGGAACACTATAAGGATGTATTTGTAATAGTCGAAACTAAACATGTACCACGGTAGCAGAATTTCTGTTTGCAGGAACAGCTATTCATGTGGCATTAAAACTGAAGTAAATTATGTGCTTAACAATATATAATTTTTATGTCCATATTCAAAGAAATGAACATTTTATTATTATTGTGTTAGTTTGTTCTTTGATTGCCATTTTTTGTTAAACATTTTTGTTAGTCGAAAAGAATGTTATTATTTAACAACTGGTTCAAATGGTTCACAAGTGTCTTTAATATTTTTCTTTAAAGTTGAAATTTGAACAAGAAAAAAAACTTATCATAAGTGGCATATTTCTTTACTATTACCAGAAAGCCCCAATAAGTCCAAATCATATTTCAACATGGACGGATGACAAATATTTTAAATACAGTGACAACAGCTAAAATCTTTTTTTTTTAATTTTATGAAATCGGTTTGTAACGTGCCAGTGCCTCTGAGATTGAATCAGATAGAAGGTCGCACCGACGTCATCACTACAAAGGATGGAATGTTATCCTTGATGAGATTCGACCTTTGAGTCACGCAAAGTCTCACGAGCATAGTAAAACGAGATTCGTCTCTTGATTAACAGTTTCACTTTTGCACCTTCCTTACCTGTATTCGGGAATTGATAAAGGTAGGGCTTATTTTATTTTATGTGATATAATTTAATACATTGAAACTATTAGAAGAGGGAAAACAACATGTTTTAATGCAACTTTATCTACTTATATGTATGCATGCGTTGGCATAGCAATACTAGTTTTGTGCAATTCCCGTAGTGACTATCTAGACTATAGATTTATTAGTTAATATCATTGAATAATAGAATTATTAAATCGTGGTAAAAAAAAAGATTAAAAATTGTAAGATATTACGAACTAAAAGGTGATATACATTATGTATATGAAGAAATGTATCTCGGATTTCAATGGTTTAGATATAGATTTCATAAATGTAAATACTTTACGCAATTACCTTGGCTAAGTAATCACCCAGTTTATATGGTAACATTTCAAATGAAAACTCTCTTTGTTATTATATAGACATAATCATTGTGTCAAATCATCTTCCGAAGATTGTTTATAATGGGTATAATACATGTGAGTTTTGATGTTATGTGTTTGAATTATGAACTTATATTACTTGAGAAAATAGGCAGAAAGGACAGAAAGGTGGAGGGCGATTGATAAGGAAATTTGAAAAGGAATCATATATATGACCTTACAGGCAGTGTAGAACTCGTTATTTTTCAGACGGTGGCTACTACAATAGATTCGCTATGCCGAAATTTACAAGGTTTAGGATTATATCAAACAATACAATAACTGCTAAGATGTAATTTTGAATGGCCGGGATAGTGCGATGTGATTATAGAATCCTAAATACAAACTATACACAGAACATGTTCTTTTCAGACTTACCATCCACATCCTTTTTATGCTTCTTCTTATTTATTTAATCTGCTATGTAATCGTTGCGTGTATAGTGCAAGTAAACATGACGTACCTGGAGTGTGATTGGAGTCGTCAACTGGCAGAGGGGGTGATGACGTTTCTAAAGAGTTGCTTCTAGAGGTCGGGGAGGAACCACCGGTTGTGTTAGGATACGATGGTGCATCGGAGTCAAAGATGTGCACATTTTCACGATTAATAGACAACAGACCACCAGGGCCGTACAGGAGTCCAAGCTCACGGGCCTCATTCTCCTCTTGGGCTTGCTGCCTTCTTAGGGCCACCTGAGCAGCCATCACTCTCTGTCTTTCGGCAATAAGTGTACATTTGGCACAAACACAATCTCTCCAACGACAGTATCTTTTATGTCCTTTAAGAGCCGAAACGACTCCATGATTCCGACAGCGAGCACATTTAGGTGTCCTTGGATACCTGTCCGATGCACGGATAAAGAGTGGGGCGTGAGGGTGGGATGAACTGCCAGTCGCACCCTCGGGATGACTTCTTTCTTCATCAGCTGATGAACTCATGGTTTATGGGTCTAGGTTCTATCTGTCCAAGACGTTCCTTTCCCTGCAGGTAATAGACTGTATCTAGAAAGCTAGGAGTTCTACCCTGCTATTTGAAGTAATACAAAACACACATAACACTATCGTCCGGAAGAAGTCGGAGCTTTTATTGCCTGTCAGCACGTTCACGATCACTGACTGGTTTATCGAGTGATCAAGCCACGCCTCCTTTCATCCCCCGGGTTGTTATCGGTGTAATTACCTGACTCGTAACACTAAATAGGCTATGGGCGGTGGTGATTGGCTGATAGCGAAGGAGTGACATTGTGATTGACAAGCTCTCGGAGTCCACGTTAAACAGGTAACCGATCAGAGGATCACTTTTCGACACCTGCTCACAAAGTGGGAAGAGTCAACTACAGGAGAACCGCCTCGAGAAGACGCATCAGCCTGTGTTGACTGAAAAACATCGTAGGATGGGTTGATGGTAAATCCTCACCCAACCCGAACCACTAAACAAGAAGCATTTGAATCAGTTTACAAATAGGGAAATGGTTTAATTCGCGCAACGCCTGGCTAATCAGGAACACACTTTACACAGATTGCAGTTTGTGCAAATCTCGATGTTTCTTGGTTTATCAACGTTTCCTGGGTAACACGGGTGACTTTCAAACTTTCCTCATTTTGTGACGATGCTCAGCATGATATGATAACCAAACATACCATTCACGCCTGTTCGTTTTCTTTGTACGATCTCATTGTCCGGCGAACCCTGCAGGGCTATTTGTCTTCAATGTCTCCCTCACTGACAGCCCCTCGAAAATAGGCTTGAGAAAAGCAAATCGCCATACCCGAAACAAATACCCTCTCTAAGTTCATACCCGAACAAAAAACAATGTTGGAATACCTCGATTCATTTTAATCGGAAAACAAGAATGTTTACTGATCATTTAAAGTGTTATTGAATCTCATTTCCGACAAGAAACAAAGTACCCCTTTTCCTGTTTATTTTGTATATTGAAATCCGGATGCACCCATGGGAAAAAGCGTGTTGCAAATTGGGAGATGACACACAACTGATTAAATATAAAATGGGTGTAAATTGCTATTTTATGTGCGCATGACTTCTCGATACTGTGTTGTATGTTTTTAAAATGTTTTGGTAGTTTGGTGTTGTTGTTTTATGCTGATGTAATAGATAAAAGCTGAGGAACATTTGACATCGTGTATTTCAATGGGTCATTCAACGTCTTTAAACCGAATGATGAATAGCAAGTAGAATAATAAACATATACATACTCCGCGAATTTGTTTTTGATAATACCGTATCTCATAACAAAAGGTTTGAAACTAAAACATGATAATTTCGTAGAAATATATACAAAATTATTATTCTTGATAAAAACATTAATGCTTTTCGCAAATATTCCGATGATTTACACAATCAATAATGCACTTTACCAAACAACACAAACCTACAATACACGAACGACTTTAAGCAGATTTCATATGCCAAGTTAAAAAATGACTATGACAGGTAAGATACAATTTCCATTTTGAATTGAAAATATGACACTCTATTACATAAGGAAGTGTATCGCGAGCAACGTAATAACTGTGAATTTCAATGGCAACACTTGTAGGAAAATGTTATGTGATTTGGTTCCTTCTCTTTGCATTCTTCATTTATCAAGTTCGACGATAGTCAACCTTTGTATACTAATGTTAAAAAATATGGCTACTTGCCAAAAGTTATTATTTCCCATGCATAATTATACGTTTAGAAAATTGTCCGGTATTTTGATCGAAGATAAGGCCATTCTCTAAAAATAGATAAATTCAATAAAGGTCTACAAGGCAATAATAGTAAAAGTTGTCTCTAATTGCTTGGGAAAGGTAAATGTTTATATATATATTCCGATCATTCTCCCAGCATTTGTAGTCTTGAGTACTAAACATAAACAGCCCTGTGTTCTTGTTACATGTTTTGTTCTGGACGCAAGAGCCTTGACACAGTAGATGCATATTCAAATAATTCCTGAGTGAAATTACTGACATCTACATTTGCCACTCATGAAAGTCACACGTGAATTAGGATCTCTGGAGTTAAGTAGCCATGCATGAACGCAAAACTGAAGTAGACAGCCGTCTGAAAGGGCTTATTATTTGAGACGTTTGTCGTGATGTTGCTCTCATAATGTTTCGGTGTCTTTGTATAAGCGGGGAGATTCTGTAGCGATGATAATTGTGATGGTATAGGTGTTTTAACCTGCTTAGTGTCTGTAAACTCGTGTGGGACGGGCCTATAGCGATACAACGACTCTATTGCCTGATGGCTTTCTATGAAGAGTTCAATGGTTAGGAGACGTCGCACGGGACAATTTTTCCAAATGCCTGTTTGTGGCCTGTCTTGTTCGTCCTATTGTTCATTACGTGGGAGGGTCGTGGTTTCACTGAGATAAGGGCTGTACGAAATATGGGAATGGAAGGAATTATACCCTATTCCCATGCCTGGCGTTTGACGAAACCACCATCTATTTATAAGTATCAATAGCGGTGGGTGCTTTTGAAATAAATAAATTCTAATTAGGTGTTTGGATGGTATATAAAGTTTATTGTTTATCGTGAAGCTTAGTTTATGTTTTGGATATAGCATACCACACTTCAAATTACTGTAAGTTGTTTGAAAGGTATTTCTGAATATTTTATCTTTTCAAAATATATTGCTTTAGATAGTATACGTGTACGTTAATCACAATGCTGATTTTACGCAACTGCAACCTTTAAATAGTTTGATTTATAATACATTTTAGACACATTACAATTTTGTATATATTATAGGATCGTCAATCTTATGATCAATCATTATTATTTTTTTATTATCAAATAAATTCATTAATGGTATTAATTGATCAATATCCAGATTACAATCATGTATTAATCTATCATCAAATATATTGTACTGCTGTTAATATGATTGACATCCTTTTGAAATGTGATGTTGTATACACTTGTCACAATGTTCGGGATTTCTATTCCAATGTTTTACATTGGTGTGAACGCGTGCTTGTGGTCGTATTTAGGTTAACGTTGTTTTTTAAATTGGAGCTTTTATCAAATTTGGGCCCCAAGCCTTGTGATAATTTTCTAATTACTAATTTCTCAAGTTATTAAAATAGAAATCAGTGCCCTTTCATAAATCATAGTCAATATGTACTGAAGATAGTATACAATGTTCAGCAAAAATAACCTCACGTCAGTGTAAATTGATACCGTGCGTTGTTAGTTTTATATTCACTGATTGAGGATGCGCCATACAGGCACTGTGTAGAGTTTTAGTCTACTGATCACAAAGCTCTTCCTAAAATGCGATGAAATAACAGCCCAGCTGTACAATGCTTTCCTCGGCCTATCACTTATTATTCAAGTTACAAGATGAGCTATTAGTGATTCGACAAACACTATCACCAAGTAAATATATATAGTTATAGTTATTTAAATCTTTTTAAGGAGAATATATATATATATATATATATATATATATATATATATATATATATATATAGAGAGAGAGAGAGAGAGAGAGAGAGAGATAGCTAGATAGCTACATAGATACGTAAATCTTTAATAATAATAATTTATATTCTCTTTAAGAAGAGAGAGTTAAAATAAAATTTTAATTGTCAAAATTTAAGTATAAGCGATAAAACTCTTTCCATATTTCTAAGTAACGTTTCTAGGCAAAGGTCTGAAGTTCCCAATTGTTCTCAATTCTATAAGTTTCCCAAAGCGTCCGTCCCCTTCAGGGTTTTTTACGCTCAATCACCGCAGTGTCCATATCACATGTACACCCGTGTGTTACATTGAGACGATTTAGGCAATAGGATTGATAGCCATTAGTATTCCCCATGATTGTGATATTTTCTTGAAGAAGAATGTCAAAAACGTCTATTAGTAAACACTTTGCTTTGAGCTCTCAGCGATCCCATAACACCTTAAGGACACCAGCATACATGGGGTTTTTCATGCGTTTATAGGATTAGGCTATACTGACAACCGGCACGCGAGGTTCTGATTTATTTCAACATTCTGGTTTTCTGTTTCAGAGTTTTATTTTCATGATTAGTATCATCTTCGCTCCCCTGAAACATATAAATTACTTCCTTGTACGTCTTGGGGACATTTAAATGTTTCTTATAAATTCAAATTCGAACTTACCGACCTGGCAGCGCCTCTGTACTTTACACTCGAGATAAATGTACCATTTTAGGTAAGATATACTTTTGTAAATTGTAAATGGATATGTCCAGTATTAGGAGCCGGTTATGTAGAATAAATATACAACGCTTTATGGTTTCATTTGAACAACCCGTTTCATTTCTTTCATTTAAGGATCAAATGTTATTTCTATTAATCATATGTGCGGGATTCATAAAGAGAGACACATAGAGTGTATAATAGATTTATGAAGCCAACTCAAACCCTTAGAATAAGGTCATTTTGGACATTCAAGACGTCATCACCAGAGAACAATTTGTCTCGATTATCTGCTGAAACAGATTCAAAAAGGGGTTAAAGGAAAAATAGAGATGAAGATTATATGAATGGATCGCTCGAAATTAGCAATGACACCAGGCGAAAAGGGTAAGCATTTCCTGCTTCACCGGTAGGACCCGTCACTCACACAATTTGCGTAACGCTATGGACAGTCAAAGTTCAAGCTGGGCATGTCATCAACGCAGCTAATATTGATTGACTAACGAAATATCTTAATCGTAGTTGTTAGGTTTTTTTAACCCAATGGGGGAGATTAGGTCCTCAGCAACACATGGAAGCGACGGCATGGGACGTGCCTCGTAACACCCATCAATGGTTTGTTTGGTCCAGACTCGATTATTTATAGACCGCCGTCGTGTAGAAGGGATATTGCTGACTGTGGCGTTTAAGAATAAATGTAACCCATCATGAGAAAAAGGACCTTATGGGTGCTTGGATACAATTGTGCTGTGACGTCATAACGTCGCGAGACATTTGACGTCAAATTTTATCAGTGAAGAGTCACGTGTACGTACTGTACACAATATCTTATTTTTCTCTCATTAGTACATAATGTAATAAAAACATTATTTCCAAACCTTTCAGCGTTCATGTCTACTTTCAATTTATC